ACAAGTGATACGGGTTAATTGCCTCACTCATCCCACACCATGACAGGGGTACGCTCGTCCTTGTAGCATCACTTACCCAAGGTTCGTCTCATCCCTGGTCATTAGTGTGAGGTACCACAATCACAATCATAATCATATCCACACGGTGCAACGATTCACATACCCATCAAGCAATTCACCATGAATACTCATTATAGTAATAATATAACAATAATATAAAACTCAATTAATTCACCAGTTTAATACAATATTAAATCAATAGAATTACCAATTTAATATAACATTCATAAATGTAATAATAATCAATGGAATTATCAACATAAACAGTAAAACCCTTAATTATTCCAAAACCCAGCTCACATGTACTTTTCTACAATTTCGTTCTCTCTCCCAAATCTTCATTCTTACAAATTAAATATATATTTCTAATCCTCAACATATACAGAATCTAATGAGATCAGTAGGTCCGCAAACAGAAAGAATCGAATTTTTCCAAAAGCTAACTTACAGGCACTTTTCTATAATTTCATTCTCTCTCCTAAAGCATCATTTTTTACAAATTAATCATGCATTCATAGTCCTAAATATATACAGAATTAAATGAGACCAATAATTCTCCAAACAGAAATAATTATAAAATTTCTCATAATCCTAAGGGCTCTTCCTCTACCCAATTTCCTCATGTAACTCTACGTATAAATAATCCCCTTTTCCCCCGTACCTGGATAAACAGCAGTTGAACTAAAATAGGGATCTCTTGGTCTCCCCCTCTAAGTGCCCCTTGGTCTTCAGAGAGAAGAAGAGGGAAAGAAGAGAGAATAGAAGAGAATAGGAAGAGAGAATGAGAGATGTGAGAAAATGAGAGGTGAGGCCTCCTATTTATAGGAATCCGCCTCACATAACCCGAAACGACTCGTTCCAAAAGTGGAACGCCCATTCTGGGCCCGAAAAATCTATGCAAGTTTTTGAACTAGAACGGCCCATTCCAAAACCAGAACGGTCCGTTCCGGGACTCATCTAGAACGGCCTGTTCTTCAACCAGAACGGCCCGTTCTCCAACCAGAACGGCCCGTTTTGGAATTTAGAACGGCTCGTTCTCAACTACATTTTTTTAGGCAATTTCCTTATTCTAGAACGACCCATTTCACTCTTGAAACGGCCCGTTCCAGGAAACGAATTGGGCCCACGACCCAGTGAAAATTGGGCTGTTACAAGGGGAACCCAGCGGAGGAGATCAACCAGATCTTTAGTTCAGTTACTGTTTATCCAGGTACGGGGGAAAATGGGATTATTTGTATGCAAAGTTACATGAGAAAATTGGGTAAACCTCCAAAAACCTCAAAAATCCCTTCAAAACTTGAAAATCAGCAACTTCAACCACATGCAATCCATGAACTGCAACATATAGACTCTCTATAACTCAAAAACGAGTTCAGATTCAACATGCAACCAATCAATGCATCAATATTGACAAAAACCCCATTTTTCCCAAAATTCTCAAAAATGAGGAAATCACCTGATTCAACCACTTATTCTCGAATTCCATACATCAATGGAGTTCCTAAACTCCCATGCAACCAAACAACATACATTCTAGCTTCCCTTACCTGAAGATTGGCTCCGAACAGCCAAGAATTTGGGAAGAAGAAAACTTTCCTCCGAGCTCAACTCCCGAACTTCAATTAAGCCTTCAAAATAAGCTTCCTAGCCTGAATTTTAAGAGAAGACAGAAGAAGTTAGTTATTTAGAAAAGAAAAAGAATCAACCAGAGAAATTTGAGAGAGAAAGGAGCTCGCAGACCTAGAGTCCTTCTCTCTAAAACTTCTCTCTAGTTTTCCAAAGTATTTACAAGTGGTGGGGTGTTGGGTATTTATAGGAGGGGAGGCATCTAGGGTTGCATTTGGAGTGTGCATGGCCGAAATTCACAAGGCAAATGCACTCCAAATGACATGCCAAATGAACCCTAGATGCTACTTGGTGACCAAGTTTGGAATCTATGGGTCTAGATTGGCTACATCAAGGTGTATGATATGATCATGCAACCTTTGCCCTCCACTTGGGCCTAAGCCTTTCTATCACCAAAAATAGATCCAAAACTCACCAAAAATGTGTCACCCTTCTAGTGTAATACCCTAGCCCAAATTAAAAACCTAATCATCTAAAGCACCCCATAATACAAGGGTAAAATAGGAAATACAAAGAAAATAAATCCTATGACTAAAATACCCCAAAATACAAGGGTAGAATAGGAAATAAAATAAATTTAAAAAAAACATAGGAGCTAAGGTCCAAAAATGGCCTCACTATCCCATTCCTCTTGCCTCCTTTAGTATATCACCTCTTGGTCTTCTCGGCCTTAGTGTTATTCCATCAAACATACTCATGTTCAGCGCATTAGTATCACGCCCGGTGCAAACTCAAACAGAGACTCACAAGAATCTCCATGCCCGGCACGACTAGCCTAGCGCCCGGTGTGATTTAACACTGGTGGCCCCGGATGAATGCACGCCCAACGCAAAGAACTGTGCCCGGCGCATATTCAACCAGAAACCTCCAAAAACCTCCAAAAACCTCCAAAATCCCTTCAAAACCTGAAAATCAGCAACTTCAACCACATGCAATCCATGAAATGCAACATATAGACTCCCTATAACTCAAAAACGAGTTCAGATTCAACATGCAACCAATCAATGCATCAAAATTGACAAAAACCCCATTTTTCCCAAAAACCCCGAAAATGAGGAAATCACCCGATTCACCCACTTATTCTCGAATTCCATACATCAATGGAGTTCCTAAACTCCCATGCAACCAAACAACATACATTCTAGCTTCCCTTACCTGAAGATTGGCTCCGAACAGCCAAGAATTAGGGAAGACATTATTACAATATATGTGTTGGGTAGTAAGGGTGTCACATATACATTAACAACTCGTACACATACATAAATTCTAGATTTAGATTAACAACTATAGTATATCATATAAATTTGTTAGATCAAAAGATAGTTTTGAAATTTTCAAGTAAGTTTTAATGATAACAAATTTAGACATTTTTCAGATAAATATTTTTAGATCATACAATAAAATGAATCAATATAGAAGATTGATTATGATGATGTGTAGTCTTACATATGGACTACTTTGTTTGTAAGACGAATGCATTTAATATATATATATATATATATATATATATATAAGATATATATATATATCATATATGATGTCTAATAACCAAAATATTTATCTATGATATTCTTTAACAGATTGAAAGGAATTTAAAAAAATCCTTTTTGTTACTTGCACCTCAAAAATGAATGAAGATATGTTTTGCATCAAAGAAAGGACAAACAAATCCCTTGAAGCATGCAAAATCTCAAAAATAGTCATTCCTAACCGACACACACAATTCCTTTCATTTGATACCATAAAGGTGATAAGTAGCCTCTTTGATCAGATAAGAAGTGACAATTTATTGAAATACATTTAATGTTCACAATTAGTGCACCAACGAACACCTCTTCTCACAAAGAAGGAAGACAAAGATAGACAAAGTAAGCTTGTGAGAAATACTCAAGGATTTGTAATGATTATCTTTACAAAACACCTATATAAAAATGCTTAAAGATTTAGAAAGGAAAAAAAAAAGAACAACTTTTGTAAAAAATTCATATTCATTCTTTTTATAAAATATTTTGTACTTAATTTAGTTGTATCACATCTTGATAGTAAGACAAAATAATAAGTGATTTTTCAGTTTTAACTATGTATTATTGCTTAAAGCTTGAAAAAAATTATTTGTAAAGATTTCTTGTTCGTTAAAACCTAGAGAGACTTTGTTGTTAAAGAATATTTGGTTGTTGAAACTTATAGATGCTTTGCTTTTAAAAGAAGAGTTAATCACCTATACACTGCCAATGTAAAGTTTTTTTTACACTCGCAACCAATTATATCTTTTAATTGTGTCATGTCACTGTTAAAAGTAAATGTGTTTACAGTGACATAGCACAATTAAAAGATATAATTAATTGCCAGTATAAAAAAACTTTACACTAGCCTTAAAAGAATACTTAATTGCTGAAACTTAGAGAGACTTTATTATTCAAAGAATACTTGAGTAATTACTTGAAGATTCAAGTCAAAAAATACTTATATTGAATCAGAAGTAACTTCTAAAAAAATAATAAAACTTAATCAGGTTGATTAAGAACACGTAGTCTCAATGGGATAGACCAGTATAAAAATATCTACCTTATATTATTTTCTTTTAACTCTTCGTATGTACTCAACATTTTTTATACTATTTTACTGTTTCAAAAAATGTCAAAATTTTCATTGACATTATTCAACCCTTTCAATATCTCTTTTTCCTCCACAAAATCACATCTAAATTATAAATACTAATTAATGTCACCCGATTCAAGTCACAATAAAATCTCCATTAATTTTTTAAAGTAATCTTTTGAATTTAAATCTTAAGCATAAATAAAAAAACATTAAAAAAAAAAGCTTTTTCTCTCCTGGTTCAACTTGGATTATACTAGATATTTAAAACAAATAATGTTCATAAAATCTGAAATTAATATAAAATTATTTAATACTTATATATATCTAATAAATTGGTGTGGTATACTATTACAATATATAAAAATAAAAGCGTTTTAATCATATACTTATAGTGATTTATTAATGATAAAATTTAATATAATTAATTAAGATAATGTGTGACTGTGCTGCATGGTAAAATTCACTAGATGTGCTGCATTGTGAAATTTTTACTGTAACTTGATGCGACATGTACTGCAGTGTAAAATTCACACTAGATTTAATATATAAAAGTATATATAGATTATTGATATTGTAATTAACTTTTGACGGTATAATTTCATCTTTCTCTTAATTATATAAGAGTTATCTAATAAATAATAATTATTAAAAACTATGAGAATGAGTAAAACTGAATAGTATTAATTAATAAGAAAATTTCGTGTAAAAATATATAATAAGAAAATTGATATGCATACGACAAATATTTTTGATTATTTACACATGAATTACATCTTCCCAAATATTCAGCAATTATATTATATATACACCTTTACACAATTACAACTAAAGATTACATGTATGACAAATTTATATTTAGGATTGATTAAAAACACGTGAATCAAATTTCGGAAATTTTGAAGATGTCTTCACACTGGTAAATATAAATGCATGCCTTGTCTTTGGTAGCCTGAACAAGAATTGGTAAACCATAAATTAGCAACTTTTAAATATAGTTTTGTCAACATATATATCAGTCCAAAATAAGGATTTAGATTATATATATAATGCAGTTGTAAACGAATAATGATGCAATAAAATGAATATGTAAAATCTAATTTTTATCTAATGATCAACCTAAGTCATGCCTCTTTAAAAAAAATGCCTAATCCCAATTATATATTCCATTTTTTTATCCACAAAATCTAATTTTTATCTAATTAGTGGTTTAATTACATAATCCATTGGTTACACCTTTCTAATTATGCAAAATTTAAAACCAAAAACATGTACCATTTTTCTTTATCTACAACTTATAAGTTCTCTCAAACCCACTCCAACCCCTTTTCTTCCAACTACATGACTAATTCTAGTAGTTTAATTACATATTCCATTGATTACACACCTTTTTAATTAATTATGCAAAATTTAAATCCACAAATATATATATATATATATATATATATATATATATATATATTTCATCACATAAAATATTTCTCTCTCTCTCTTGATAATTTCTTCAATCTACCTCAATACACCCGAAAATAAATATGATCAAAAAAGAATTGAACTGATAAAAAAAGAAAGATGATGTTTATATAATAAAATTTACAAAGAGAGGAAAAGTCTAAAAATTAAAATATAATAACTAATGGATTAAAAAGAGTTAAACACAAAATAATGTTGTGTAATATTGTATGAATTGTTAAATGCATTGACAATGTCAAAGTGAGTACCTTAGGTTCACAGGTCAACATTAGGGGCATCATATATTATCGATGAGTTTGAACTCCAGAATCTCCTTGTAGTCCAACCATGGCTTCACCCAAACCTTGGTTTCATAAACATTTTTCTTTTCTCCATCTTTGGCTTCCAGAGTGATGTAGTACACCATTCCAGAAACCACTTGCTGTTTTGCATTTACCACCTTCACAAACTCCAGAACTGCATTCTACACCATTTTTTATGAAAAGTTTAATCAAAATGATGAGGAGAGAAAGATATTCTGGGATTTGAGAAAAATAAATTATTATTACTTTTTTTTTTTGGTTTTAATTATAAAAAGAGTTTAATAGTCATATATATTAAATTATAATTGTTTTTAACATTGTCCACTAATAAAAATTCGTCACTTTTAAGATAATTATTATAAAAATCAACAAACTTACAATACATAATGATTTGTGTTAATGTATAACCTTTTTTCTCATAAAAAAATTATCTTAATTTTTAATTTAATATAAATTGATGAAAATAAGAAAACTATATGTTTACTAATTTCTTATATGAAAATTTGATATTAAATAATAAATTTTAAAAAAATTAATATTTTTATAACTAAAAGTGAAAATATTTTCTTAATACAAATGATTTTAGGAGATAGTTGTTCTTTTTTTTTTTTGTGTAAATGTAAAACCATTTTAACTTTCGAACAGAGGCATTAATATAAATTATAAATAAAGCTTGTTTTAAAAATTAAAAGTGAAAATATGATATGAAAACTAAAATTAATATTTATAAGTAAATGCTTTTTAAGATATAGTTTTTTTTTTTTAAACTATTATGTTTTAACCTGATGAAAAGAAGTATTAAACCAACATTTTTAATCAAGAGCTTTTCTCTAAAATCTTATCTATTTATCATAATTTCTTCTAAATATATTTTAATTAAAAAATTTATTTTCTTAAATAAATTGTAAAAGGCGTCCTGTATAAGATGAGAAGTTGAGGAGTGGTTTGATTTTATTTTTAATAATCATGTTATTGATCTAAAATATTTACTAACTTTATCAATAACTAATTTCCATATAAGACATAAATTTGAGATTATATTTAAAGGAATCGATTGCAATTCCACTTTAACTATCAACTAATTGATGAGAAGTAGTTTGATTTGAAAATATGATTCCTTTCACTTTTTTTTTTTTTTTGGTTTTTATAACTTTCATTAATTATTGTATAATAATACATACTCTATAGTGACATAAAAATTGTCATTAAAAATTATTTTTACCTACACAGTAAATACAATATATGTTAATATATTGTTAAAAAGTAAGTATAAAATATAATGATATACAAAATATGTTTTAAAATCTCATTTTTATTTATAAACGGTAAAAAACATAAAAAAGAAAATAAAACCAATAAGCAAAGTATACTTTTGACACCAATATATATATATATATATATATATATAGAAGGGATCCGTTTATTTCAAGAGTAAGTTTACCTAAACTTATTTCGTTCAATAACTCATGTTCTACATCAAATTTCAACGATCCAACCGTTGAATTTAAAATTCTTAATGCATAAATCAAATCTGCAAATTTTTAAAAAATTTGAAAATCATTTGATACTTCATTTCATTAATTCAAATTAATTGACAAATAATCATATTCATAAAATAATTTTACACATTGATTTGAATTAATGAAACGAAAATTTGAATTAATGAAACAAAGCATTAAATGATTTTCAATTTTTTAAAAAATTTGCATATTTGATCTATGCATTAAGAATTTTAAATTCAACGATTAGATCGTTAAAATTTGATGTAGAACATGAATTATTGAACGGAATAAGTTTATGTAGACTTACTTCTAAAGTAAATGGATCTCTCCTCATATATATATATATATATATATATATATAGAGAGAGAGGAAGGTTCAAACGACACCGGTGTAACTTTTACTAAGTGTTACACCGTTCAATAACTTTATATTAAATGTGAATTTTGTAAATCTAACCGTTATGGAAAGTTCATATCTCTTAGATCATATATGTCAAATTTTGTTAAAATTGAACAACAACTTGAAGGTAATCAAAGTGTTCATATTTTAGTATATTTTGAAATGTATATATTACGTCAATTTTGTTTTATGAGAATGAAGTATCAAATCATCTTAGATTAATATAAAATTTGATATATATGATTTAAGAGATATGAACTTTCAATCTAACGGTTGGATTTACAAAATTCACATTTAATATAAAGTTATTGAGCGGTGTAACACTTAGTTAAAGTTACACCGGTGTCGTTTGAACCCTCCTCATATATATATATATCCGAAAACATTTTTGTCCACGTTAGGCATTTCTTAAAAACAAAAGAATTTTCATATTTAACAAATTAGGTGATGCATGAATGCAAAAAAGAAAGAACATAAAATGTACTTACCTCTTTCTTGTTGTGCTCATCAACAGCAAAACGGGCAAGGCTATTAATGGTATCACTGTTCTGGCTTCCCTCTACTTGGCTAATGCCTCCCATCGTTGCCATTTTCTTCGATATCCTCTCTCTCTCTTCACTCTCTTATAATCGATATGCTTAGTAATAAATAGGTCAAGGATCCCTTTAATTACACATATATATAAGTTGTAATTTCTTGGTCAAATTGCGCGTATGTAGCAAAATTGTGTACGCCACACGTTTTGCAATTTGATGGTTTTACATCGTCTGCTCTTATAGGTGGTTTTGTATGTAAACTAACCAAGTTTTGCTCTTATATTTAAACTATTTCACTACGCAAGACAAACATTGAGTATTCTATCATTTTTTTTTCTGATATAAATAGAGAAAAGATTATAAAAATATTATGATGAAGATTGACTTTAAATCTGCATGTTTCTCCTGAATTCACTAAGTTAATTTTAGTGGTCAAGTGTCCTATCATTTAGACCATAATTAATAAAATCATATAGAATTAAAATAAAGGCCTACTAGAAAAACCATCTTAAGAAAAGTATGTATATATGATGAATGATTCAGCTGCATGACAGAGATAAACACAGCTAAGAAATGAAAAACCACACGGCAACGTTAACTTAATTAGATATCAACTATCCATCAACTTGCATGAATAGTCCGTGGAAACAAGAACGAGGTCGGCATATTCTATCAAAGCCATATGATGAATATTCCAAATTTAACATCATCATTAAAAACAAGTGTCGGTTCTAGCAATAATAACCTTGTCTCTTAGGTACATGAATTAGGAGTGCGATTCTTGATACATATAATTTATGTAAGAAGAAATTTTTAGTGAGAAAAGTTAATTCCTTAAATAATTTAAAATAATTTTTAATACCTGGGGAAACTTGTCCTTAACTTTCAGTATCATGCATTGACGGAGTGTTTTTGGGATATACTGTTAGAAAATAAATTTAATAGAGCACAAGAAAAATAAAATATTTAGATTTATCAATAAAACCAATATCAACAACACAATGAATACTATAAAATTAAAAACAAAACAATCAGTAGTAACTAATTAAACACAAAGAGCAAATTAGAATATTAAATAATAGGTTTAGAGTAGTCTGAGTTGAAGCACGCAGAGCGCTATCCTTAGAGAGAAAACGCCCCCACTGCACTGGTAATTTAGAGTCTTATCCCAAGATATGTCAACCCGTTAGACCGTTCGAGTGCAGCGAAAGATCCCCGAACCAAAGAACACGGTTCCAAAATTATAATTTTATAGTAGAAAAAATATTGAGGGAGAGATAAAAATGAGTTTGCTGTGTATTTTTCTTATCTTTTTCAGGTACCAGGGTCTGTATATATAAGCACAATATATTTTTAGATAAAGAATGTGCCCCCGTTTTGCAAGTTTTTTCGGTAACAAAAGGTGTACCTTGTGTGTGGATGTGCACTATCTTTTAGCTAGCTTTTCGGTAACAGTAAAAGTGTACATGGTGCACTTTACTAACTAATCAAAATTGCAGGCTTGGTCAAAGTGAAGAAGGCCATAATAGTTTTTTGGTTTTATGCAAATTACAAATATTAAATAAAACAAAGATTAATTAAATTAAATTTTAAATTATAAGATAATTTTTTAACAATCGCCCACTAATTTAAAATTTAAATATGAAAAAAGAATTATATATATATATATATATATAAACTTAAATATTTTAATGGAGCATGATATATTATATTTTCAGTACAAGGAACCTTCCGGGTTTGAGCCTTATACCTAGTGCATATGAACTTCCATTTGAGAGAATATGGAGACATAATTGTCTTGAGCCATATCCCTTTAACCAAATTTTAGAACATAACACGTATAATAAAGGTGTTCATTTGAGTTCTAATCAGTGGAGCGCATTACGGCCTTGCGCATGTATCTTGTTTCGTGAGTGTCATTTAGAGATTGTCCATATCTCACAGTAGCGGCCCCACCACCACACTCACTAGGTGAACCCTTCCAAGGGTGGTCTGTGACACCCACCCCTACAACAATTGTCATTGGGTCCATTAAGAGGTATTTTAGTTTTAACACAATAAATATAAATATTTGAATACCTCAACCTTATTACTGTCACAGTTTACTTTAGAGTACAGCTCGCCATAGGAATGGAACATGCAATAATTTTGCAATTTACAATGGTATACTTAGTTAACAAACAATTTCGTTATTACCCATTGAACTCCATTTATGGGATCACCATTTATGTGGAGACGGGTGTCCATTGTTGCAACTAGCTCATGGACTTTAGTCCCATTCCCCTCGACGATTCAAATACTTGTTGATACGTCAACCCTTTTGTGAGTGGATTTGCAAGATTTTTTTCAGACCTGATAAAATCAACAAAAATAACATCATGAGTTATCAAATTTCTGATAGATTTGTGTCTTATTCTCAAGTGCCTTCTTTTTTAATTAAAGTTTTTGCTAGTAACTTTAGCAATGGCAACTTGACTATCACAATGCATTGAGATTGGAGGTATAGGTTAATTTAATAATGGCAAGTCATATAGTAAATTTTTAAGAAATTCAGCCTCACTACTAGCAGTATCTAAGGAAATTATTTCAGCTTCCATAGTAGAACGAGAAATAATAGTTTGTTTTGCAGATTTCCAAGCTACTGCACCTCCAACTAAAGTAAAGACATAACTACCGGTAGATTTAGTTTCATCAGAGTCAGAAATCCAATTTGCATCACAAAAACCTTCAATTACAGCAGGATAACATGCATAGTGAATGCCATAATTAATAGTTCCTTTGAGATATCTAAATAACCTTTCTAGAGCAAGCCAATGTGAATGATTAGGATTATGAGTATATCTTCCTAACCTACCAACAACATATCCAATGTTCGGTCTTGAGAAATTAGACAAATGCAACAAGGAACTAATAATTTGAGAATATTTAAGAGGAGAGACACTTTCACCAATATTTTTCTTCAATTTAATACTAGGATCAAATGGGGCAGAAACTGGTTTTTCATCAAAATAATTAAACTTTTTAAATATTTTTTCAATATAATGTAATTGTGTCAAAACAATACCATTTTGATTCTTAATCAACTTAATACCTAAAATAACATCAACAAGACCAAGATCCTTCATTTCAAAATTACTAGACAAGAAAGACTTCACATCATTTATAACATGTAGATTACTACCAAAGATTAAAATATCATCCACATAGAGACATAAAATAACACATAAATTATCATCAAATTGTTTCACATAAACACATTTATCACTATTATTAAACTGAAATCCATATGAAGAAAAAAATTGATCAAATTTATCATGTTATTGTTTGGGAGCCTGTTTTAAACCATACAAGGATTTAACAAGCTTGCAAACTTTATTTTCCCACTAGTAGAAAATAAGCATATTACGTCACCCCTTTTACGTCAGAAATACGAAAATCCGATGTAAAAATAATGTGGTGGCATTTTTTTAATTTTTGCAAACTTTTTTACGTCGCACCTGGTAGGGTTTGACGTAAAAAGTCCAATCTACGTCGGAGGTATGTTTGTCCGACGTAGATTTGACATTTTACGTCGGACCCTACCAGGTCCGACGTAAAAAAGACGCAAATTTGAATAAGAGAGGGCGAGGCACACCGCGCGCATTCACTTTGTTTTTTTTGTTGTTCTACGAAGCAGAATCGCTTGTTCTGCAAGCAGAACGACCCGTTCTGCAAGAAAAACGGCCCATTCTCCAAGCAGAACGGGCCGTTCTGCCTGCGTTCTTATGTTTTTTTTTTGTTTTTTTACTACTATTTTTACGTCGGATTTAGTAATGTCCGACGTAAATTTACGTCGGGTTTGCAGGTCCGACGTAAAATTTACGTCTCCCGCTTCTACGTCGGTACGTTTTCTAACGTAAAAAGTCTAAAATATCCGACGTAGTACACCTCTTTTGTACTAGTGTCCATTCCAGGTTCTATAAAACCTTCAAGTTGATTCATGTAAATTTCTTCTTCTTATAAGTCACCATTTAAGAAGACAGTTTTTACATCCATTTGATGAATTTTCAAATTAAAAACACATGCAAGTGCAATTAAAACTCTAATAGTGGTAACTTTAGAAACAGCAGAGTATGTATCAAAGAAATCTACACCTTCTACTTGTTTATAACCAATAACAAGTCTTGCCTTAAACTTATTTATGGAGCCATCTGTTCTTAACTTTTTCTGAAAAACCTATTTACAACCTATACTCTTGCAACCAGGAGGAAGGTCAATCAAAAACCAAAATTTATTGATTTTAAGAGAATCTTTTTCATCATTAATAGCTTCTTTCCAAAAAGGTGCATCAACAGATCTCATAGCTTCACTATAAGTTTTAGGATCATTTTCAAGTAAAATAGAATAAAATTTAGGACCGAAATCTTTAGCTTTTCTAATTCTTCTACTAATTCTAGGTTCAAAATCCTTGTTAACAGTACTACTCGAAGGTAAAACAGAGCCAGAAGTATCATAAACAGGTTTAGAAAATTTATTCTTTAAAAGAAAAATATTTTCAAAGAAAATAGCATCTCTAGATTCCATAATTATATTATTAGAAATTTCAGAAACTTCAGAATTAATAACTAAAAATCTTTAAATAGTACTATGTAAAGAGTATCCTAGAAAAACACAATCAACCATCTTGGGACCAATTTTTATTTTCTTATTAATAAGAATATTCACCTTTGCAAGACACCCCCACACTTTGAGATATTTCAAATTTGGTTTTCTATTTTTCCAAAGTTCATAAGGGGTTTTATCGGGATTTTTATAAGGAATTCTATTCAAAGTGTGACATGCAGTAAACAAAGCTTCCCCCCACAAATTATCAATCAAACCAGAACTTATAAGCATAGCGTTTATCATGTCTAATAAAGTACGATTTTTTCTTTCAGCAATTCCATTAGATTGAGGAGCATAGGGAGGAGTGACTTCATGAATTATGCCATGTGTTTCAAAAAATTCACCCATTTCATTAGAAGAATATTCCCCTCCTCTATCAGAACGAAGAATTTTAATACTCCTTTCTAATTGATTTTCAACTTATGCTTTATAAACCTTGAATTTTTCAAATAGCTCACTTTTATGAATAATCAAGTATACATAGCAATATTTTGAGAAGTCATTAATGAAGGTAATAAAGTATTTCTTTCCACCAC